GCTCTTTAAAAGATTTCTTTACGACACATAAAGATGGTGTGCCGAGTTCGAGCTAATCGCGAGACTTTATCTTAAACCACGACAAGGTGGGGGGATGGGCTTTTACAAAGGGTGGAGACCGGGGTGGATGGGCTGTCACTTGTCATGCGTGACAGGCTGGAATGTGTGAGGTCACAGGATTTACAGAACGCCATTCACCGAGACAGTCCACAGATAAACAGAAAATTGAAACGACCAAAGGGGTTGAGCGGGTCAAATCGTCCGTAAACCGCTCACCTTACTGAGCTGATCGACAGGTCGCCGGTGATGCCGCAAATTTTCCAACTGCAGGAACTCTTCAAGTTGTGGTGGGATGATATGCACCACAAATGGCATAAATTCAGAGTTATAAAGATGTGAGAGTGCTTGTGGAGCACAGTCCAGCACACACATTCGTCCACTTCGTACTACTGATCGAACTGAATCAGCACAAGTACCTGAAATATCAGCTAAGTCTACAGAATTTTTAAATTTATCGAGTCTACAGAATTTTGAAAAACGAGATCGATACCGTAAAGCTGGCCATCCAACTCGCCCCATTCGACCATTTTGCCTTCTCGGATTCTTTGGAGCATTTCTTCTTTCGTGACAAAATTGTACTCACGACCTTCTTGTTCGCCTGGGCGGGCTTGTCTCGAGGTAACTGAATGGAACTGGGTAAGTGATTGTGAGGAAGTTTTCAATAATCAGTTACAGAAGACAATATTATGCGTTTGAGCTTCGCAGTTTGGCAAATGCGAAATGATCTATGGAAATTAGCAACTGTATCATCCCTATTTTCCTTCCAGTACCACAATCTGGTACCAGATCGCCGTGGAAGCAGTGGATCGGCCTGGGAGGACAATGCGTGATCTGAACTCCAGACCACCACCCTGGTAAGCGCGCCGTTTTCCACTACACTATCTCGCCTCCGTATATTTCCTATTGAAAGCGTGATATTACGCAGCTATAGCACACCCTAGACTGACTGATATCCTCAGGGAACATTCCATAGAACCAATATAACTGAGAATTTCTCATGAAAAATAGAAAGAATCTATTATAAAAAGAAAAAATAAAATGAAATATTACTATAGAACTTACGAGGAACGACGGTTGCGAAATATTGTGGAGCGGAACGTAACAACATGGATTTCAGCGTTCTTCGTCCGACGCCTACTGCCCCTAGCAGTACGAGTACTCGACGACCGAACGGACACAACATTGCAACCTGAAAGGGAATATGAAGTAAATGGTCCTGCCTTATATAAAAGCAATCAGTGGTACCTTTTCCTTGGATAGAGACGCTGGCAGGTAACCCACTCGAGACAGGTCGTTGACCTTGCGAGCCTGAAATGGATTGAAATTCGGAAAACCGGTAGCAGTTATTCAATTATTCACAGTTGCTCATACAGCAGCGGTACATTCCGCTGTCATCGGATGCAGTAGATATGGGTGTGGTCCTTATACACATTTTCACTGGTGTGATCCTGCTTGTACGGCAGCAAAGAACAGGGACACATCTGTGGGGAGGTTGTCTATCTCAACCAATGCAATCAGTGCGCCTTGAAAGCTCTTCTGAAGGAATAAGCCGCAAGAACAGGATCGAGGTGAGATTCTCCTCATCAGGTGCTTCCGCTGAAAAGCTGCAGAGTTCCGGAATAGATGGATTGATGCAGTCGTTTGACAGGGTGCCACAAATCACATTAGGGCATTATTAAAGGATAAAAAGGATAAAGTCTTCGCCGTTGATCAATCCCTTTGTGGGATGCGGCACGCATTCTACTTCCATTCAGAATCGTAGTGGCTTATTGAATGCGATGTGGCCTATACAATGACTTGCGGTGGCCAGCCGATGTACAAGTCAGTGTTTTATCCTCCCAGACGAATCTGGTACCAATTCACCGTCCCCGGAGGGTAGAAGGCTTGGTTGGCCTGGGCGGGAGTCGACCCGGGATTCGAACCCGGCGCCGCGCGAGTGGTAAGCGCGCCACTTGTCACTACACCATCTCCGCCTCCAGGGTCTTATTATATTAATTCACAATAACACCTGATAAACTGTGAAAATTCTATGTGAAAATTCTATGCCAAATCAAATAAGTGGTAATAGTAGCAATTGAAGTGGGGGGATGAGCGTGGCGGATAGGTGAGTGGACCTGGTCCACGGAGTAAAATATAGTCCTCATCATTGCGGACCGGTGGGGCGTGTCAGCCAGTATGAGTGTGCACACTGTTGAAGCCGTTCTCAGCCTTTTTGTTGAAACGCGTATGCGACAAAAAGTGGTAGAAAACGAGTAATACGAAGGATATAATACAGTAATGCACTTGTCTGCTTCAAAAACTGGTGCAGAACGACTCTTGCCAAACCGCACCAAAGCGCAGCCGCACTGCCACGCCCCACCGGTCCGCAATGATGAGGACTGTATATTGCCACATAATGGTTACCCTCAACAAGTATGAAGATTTCTAAACACACCTGGATCCAGTTATCATCTTGGCTCATTATCTGTACAACATCGCCTTTCTTCACATCAATCGACAACCAACGGCATATTCTTGAGTCATCCATATCCGAATTATAGTCAGCATTGACCCGGTAGAAGACCTGAATTGAATGGTTCAATCATTTCAATGTGTGATAACAAAATAAAAAGTGAAATAATAATAGTAAACTAATAATAAAGGAAATGCTCCAAAATATCTGATCCAAAGCTCAAGAGTTCAAAGAAGAAAATGTCATTCAGAGCATTTTTTCATTTTTTGGATCTTCTCGTCCTTCTGGTTTTTTGGCGTAAAAATTCTGAATTGTCACTTCGTTTCAGATCATGGTGAGGCTGTGGGGCTGCACAATACTGTGCTTTAGACATTGTTAGACAAACTGTTATAGTGAACTGTTGAACCTACCGAAGGGGCACCGTGAATAGCAGCTGGGACCAAGGTAAGCGTTATTCGACCATTCAGACCGCTAATCGAACTTCGGTCCATGGTAGGTCTTCCGTTGACATGGGTGATAGTATCGCCTGGATGGATATCATGATTTGCAGCCGCGTTTACTCGTGTCACCACCAGCTGCCCGGAAATCGTCTCGACCTCGATCTGAAATAATGGGGTTCACATATCCGATTAGTATTATGCAGGTTGTCCGGAAAGTTCTCAGCGTTTTGTGTTACTATTTTTTGTACATTCATTGCTGATTAAAACTCATTCTCCCTTGCGTCTCAGTAGTACATCCTGAAGAGAATTTTTTGCGCTATCTGATGGTATAACTGCCGTTTCACCATTGCTTGATGAACCCCTTTTTAAGATTTTTTCAAGCATGTGAAAAGAGCACTTCGGACGATTTTTTTCTTCGACTATAAATTGGGGCAATCCGCAATCGAAACAGCTCAACAAATTAACCAGGTGTGGGGCCCAATAGTGCTAGAGAAAGCACTGTGCGGCAATGGCTCAACAAATTTCGTTCTGGAGATTTCAGCCTTGAAGATGAACCTCATAGCGGTCGACCTAAAGCAATATCTGACGAGGATTTTAGGGGATTTTGGAGGCTGACCCATCCCAAACAGTTCGAGAGATTGCAGAAAAGCTAGGCGTTGGCAAATCCACTGTTGCGGATGGTCTGAAACGCATTGGGAAGGTGAAAAAACTCGACAAGTGGGTGCCCCACAATTTGAGTGACCGGCAGAAATTGGCACGTCTCGAGGTTTCTTCTTCACTGCTTTTGCGCAACAGAAACGACCCGTTTTTGAACCGAATTGTCACCTGTGATGAAAAGTGGATCATGTATGATAACAGGAGACGTTCCGGACAGTGGTTGGATGCCGACGAACCACCGAGGCAATTTCCAAAGCCGAATCCTCACGAAAAAAGATTATGGTCACAGTGTGGTGGTCATCGGCTGGTGTGATCCACTATAACTTTTTGTCACCAGGCCAAACCATCACAGCAGAGTCCTACTGTAAAAAATCGACGAAATGTACCGAAATTGCGTCAGCTGCAGCCAGCACTTGTCAACAGAAAGGGTCCGATTCTTTTGCATGACAACGCCCGCCCACACGTTTCACAAATCACTATCCATAAATTGAACGAATTGGGGGTTGAAGTTCTACCTCATCCGCCATATCCTCCACACCTTTGACCAACCTACTATCACCTTTTTCTCAAACATTTTCAGAACTTCCTTTGCTGGAAAATACTTCATCAATCAGGACCAGGCAAAAAAAGCCTTCGTGGATTTCGTGGATTCTCGACCACCCAGTTTTTTCTTTGATGGGATTTATCGACTGGTGTCACATTGGCAAAAGTGTGCTGATTCGAACGGTGCTTATTTCGATTAAATCCGATGAGTATTAAGAAAGTTATGATCGTTAAAAGTGAAACACTCAAAACGCTGAGAACTTTCCGGACAACCTAATAAAAAAGGAAACGGCAGTGTTCTAATCTGAACAGTACAGATTTGAAGAGAAAGTAAATTGCATAAATTGGGAAATTGTTCCTCCGTAGCTTCACAAAGGCGAATCTGTTAAATTACTAGGAGAGCCGGTCGTTCGATATGACCCCCTCCCCCCGCCTTCTCATGTACAAGCGCTTCTGACAGTCCAATGCCGCTTACTTCTTTATCTCACCTGTTTCCCCGACCTTCAATTTTCTCGTTTTCCAGCCTCAAAGTAACATAGGGACCTGCGGCAGGTATAGAACCATACCACAAAAGATAGAAATCCTCGTTCTCTCCATTCCAAACATTCCTTAATTTTTCTGACTTGTGCGTACCACTCTACCCTATATACCTTCCCGAAACGACTCGAATATAACCCACGTTGAGATAGGGCAGTGTCGCAGTCTACACACTTAACCGCTTTTGCTTATTTTTGGCCGTCGAGTGTTCGACGCCTAACCAGTCGAACATTTATTTACCGAAACTGAACTGAGAATCATCGAAATAATTTTCTCGGTCTTACAGGGAGTCGGAAATTGGGAAAAAGATGAGCTGGTATCTTTTGCGCGACACTACGATTCCCCCATAATAACAGGAACTCTACCCTTGCCCTCATCAATGCATGCCCATAATCAACGCCATAGTAGAATCGCATTCACAATGAACGGCGACCTTGTTGCTTTCCTGGCATGAATTGCTCTCAAATGAGGGCCGACTAACCCCCTAATGACGCGGGTTCACCCCGCCTATAGAGCACTTGACACTATGGCGCCAATAAATTTACGGCTCAATTGAACAATAATATAAACAGTGGACATTCAGCATGAACGTCGTTCGTTTCTGGAATCGATACTATAAAATAAACTATGCCCCTATGCTAGCTTTGACCCTCAGAAACTCTGCAACACACTAAGAAAGGAAATTGTTCCTGAGCGAACTTCTATGCACTCAACGTTCATTCGAAATAATGGTTTTCATGCGGAAATTGGCCTTGCACAAGTACGTCTGAGAGCGGTCCATTACGTGGGCTTTCATAGACTCCAACAAAGCCAGGAACTTATGTACTCCATTCCAGAACAATGGGGATAGCCGCTATCACAGTCTGTGAAGCATCTTCGGGAGTAGGACAAGAAGGACAGATAGTTGGATTGACGGAAAGGTTTCCGCTCCCCCATGTTCATATTCCTTACTTCTTTATGTGATGACTGGTTTATACATTTTTGTATTGTTTTTGGTCAATTTTTGTAATGTTTAATCAAGTTGTCAGGTCAGAGTAAGCATTCTACATAAGTCAATTCTAGTACAACCTGATAATGCCAGAAGAATTTTTTCCGTTCGAAAAGTCGCCTTAAAGGTGATCGATGGTCCGGATCATGATTCTGACTCTTATTTTTGACGGCGACGCAATTCAGCGCCGGAATAGTGTTGAACGTCCCTTATATGAGTGTGCACAATGATTCAGTTGGAGAAAGTTATGGCTTCAGATTGGCCCATAGCCAGAAGGAAGTGCATTAATCATGATCAGACCACCGATTACCTTATAAAGATCAACTTTCAGCAATAATTTTGGTTAGTGGTACGTGAAATTGCGATAGTTGACTAGCACCGACTCATGGGGTACCACGGGAGACGGGCAAGAGAACCGTAAATTGCCGCTTCGTCGCACGCGGCAATGGGCGCGACGTTTCCTTGATTTGCACTACCCTTTCGATTGGAGCATCGGATTTCATGTAGACAAGGACATGGTGGACACTTATGTCTATTTTTTGGTCATACATTGTCTATTCTCGACCAATACCACCTAAAATCGTCGTCATTAGCGGGCGCGACGTCGCACGCGATGCCCACTGGCGCGGCGAATTACGATTCTCTTGCCACATACCCGGGTACCACCATTAAGAATGTGTCCATATGGTTAATATCCGAGTGAATTTCATGCACAGACATACATGGATGCGAGAACAGCGAAACATTAACGTGCAAAAAGTCGCAGTCTGCGGTGAACTGAACCATAAACCCCATCATCACTGCCAGAACGAGAATCTCCCACGCCATCCACTAGGCTCTCTATATCTGACGGCACATGCAGCTCCATACGGTGAACATACCATTCTTAGAAACCGTTGGCTCTTGACAGGTGACACAGTTAAGACCCCAATCACGGCTCTTTTCCTTCTCAACTTCAATAATCCCTTAATAAGGACCCACCACTCAGTAACTGGTCGAAATTGTGAGGATCAGTTCCCTTAGACGTCCAGAGGCGTTTAGAAAAATTGAACGTTAGTGTGGTAGTCCATGCACGTGCTTCTCGATCATGCAAAAGCCCTTTCGAAAAGCGCTCCACCTCCTCGACCTCCCCGGCTAGCGCACTTTTATTATTACTCTCCACAATCCTACGTTGTTGGTTGCTTGTTGTTAATTTATCAAAAGAAAATCAGTTGAAACAAGTCAATGAACAGGGCACATCATTGGTTGGGGATTTTAGTCGACTCTATACGACCCCCCCCCTTTTTTTTGGGAGTTGGTACGACCCCCCCCCCAGCCCTCTGTCCTTCCTCATCGAATCGAGCGCGGGAGGGGGGGGGGAAGGCAAGGGGGCGGGGCGGCGGAGCGTAAATAGCACATGTGAAACAGGAAAAGGCCGCGAGGACAATAGGACCCCTCCCCTCTACAATTTCCTCAGCTTCCTGCCCCACAAAAGTCAACCGCCACTCCACACGCCAAAACGTAAATACGACCCCTCCCAAAAATGATCAAGTACGACCCCTCCCTTTACAACGTCCATGAAGCGAGAAAAATCAACTATCAAAATAAATTTTTCTCAGCCCAAATACGACCCCCCTCCTGGTGACCAAATACGGGTGACCAAATACGAACCCCCGTACTGGGACTTCCCCAACAACGATGTGCCCTGTTAATGAATATTATAAAATGAGTACGGTTACAAAACTGGAGCAATATAAGAATTGCGCCATAGACTTGACCTAAACTTAGAATTGCTATCATAAAAGCTCACCCACTGTGAAACTGTGGAAAGCTACTATAGTATGCAGGTCGACGGGAGAGCAGTGCCATAATTCCATGTTTCTAAATTACACTCGAAATCCCTAGGATGCGGTAGGCGTGGCTGCGTACTTCAACTAAACGTGGCGGTGGCTGTGCTTCTGGTGAGATATTTTCATTTTGAAACAATTGTGGTCATGTCTCTGTCCACCATAGAACAAGATGGCAGTTGTCTCGAGTTGAAATATCCCACGAGTAACCCATCCCCATGTCCAAATGCCACGCCTACCCGGACTCAGGGATAAGAGTATATTTGCCCTCAACCTGAGAAGGTATGTTCGACAATGTGCAATGTGATCAATAATATACAGGGTAACACTTGTTGGTACCACCCCCCCCGAATTTAAGTTTTACTTCTTTCTTTTTTGCGCAATTTCTTAAGGACCGCCTGCGCCCCGTAATTTTTTCTTCTACCACTAATTGTAAGACTCGAAAATGAGGCTGCTGAAGCAAGGCTAGGAGAGATACATAATGACAATATCCCTAGTAATCGAGTAATCTTACTCGGCACGAATGCTTGAAAGCTGGGATGCTACCTACGGTCTCGAAGACGGAGTGTGGTTTGAATTTCCCTTCGAACTGAACTTGAAGAAGTTGCGCTACTGGCTGAGGAGCTGCTTCCACGATCAGTCCCTACACATAGCAGAATGGAGATCAGAAGGCGATGGTCGACCGGAGAGAAACATTGTCACGACAGTCTGCTTTTAACATGACAGGGCTAGACTGCGCAAAAAGGCGAAGCAGTACCTCATGTGAGACTAGGTGCCCCTCCCCACCACGAAAGCGCTCATAGTGCGGACGCTGCTTCTTCCAAAAACTGATTGTTCTTGAACTAACTTTGTACAAGGGAAAGAGAAAGCTTCCATGACCCAAGCCCAAGTCAAAATCGAGGTAACATCTTAATTTACCTCTCGACAGCCTGCACTGCGAAGTACGGGCATCCATAAAATGCATAGACGCTAGTAAGGACTCCGCAATAAGAACAGAAGATAGAATCCATCCTATACATTCCACTTCGAAAAGAAACCTCAACCTCGAAAAATACGAGGCCTCCCTATCAGCGTAATGCCGAATTATCCCTCGATTCAGCTTCGACTATCCTAGAATCCATCACAGAAAACATCACTAAATGCAGCAAACATCACCAAACTAAACTATTGAAAATACACTGCGAAGCATAATCATAGTTCCACCCATGAATCTCACAAAATCCTGTCTTACACGACGTTTTCCAAAAATGCCCCCATACAAAAAATGTGGTAACCAATTACCATGCCAACAAGAAACACTAACTGAAAAACAATTTTTCGTCAATTTTTTCAAAAATGGTCGTTCTGACAACGAAGCAAAAATATAGTTCCACCGAACAAATCGAATATTCCAACAACAAGTGCACAATAAAATGAGTAAATTTTGATTCAGTAATCATTGGAATCCTATTCTCCATTAAGTAGGAAAATACGGTTGCCCATGTTCGATTAGAGATTTCCAGTAGGCCGACTGCCCCAATGATTACTCCCTAAGCTCACGGACATTGTGGAATTGTGCATTACTCTCATGGATCATACGCACCATGAAGCCCCTCACATCCTCGATTGGGTTTTAGTCGGGGCTACTCGCTGGCCAGGGCAAAAGAGCGGTCTGGTGGCAACTGAATCACGCTCGAGTGTTTCGACGGTCATGTACTGGTGCATTATCCTGCATTAAAACGGGACTTTCTTGCTGATTTCTAGGCCAGAAGCAAGGGGAGATCGGCGCATGAACTTTTAAAATGACGGGAAGAGAAAAAATCTCATTTCTTTTTTCATACGGAGCACAGTTTCAGACGTTTCATTCATGCGATGGCAGCCCAGACCATGAGACCACATCCACTGAAGTTCCGCCCGGAAAAATGAAACTTGTCTTCCCTCAGGTCGTGCCAGCGGAATCGGGGTTTCGTCGGAGCGCGGTAACAGTTGAATTTTCTCATCAAAAAACACACCGCGAAAAAAAAACTGGAAAAAACACTACAGACACACTGTAGGGAGCCAAAAAGCTATCTTCACTCATATTGGTTCGGCAACATCCTTGCGAAGTCGAAGGCCAATTAGGTTTTCGCGATGGTTTTTCGCTAGACAATACGTAACTCATATTCCTCCTATGGGCGAACTCGGGAGTTTTTCAAGACGCGTCCCGCAAACATGGAGTGGAATATGTATAACGTATTACCGACCTTCTCGGAGTGACGAGGAAATACATGCAACCCCTGCACTGCCTCCTCCCCACCCCCAAAAGGGGGTCTCCCAACGGATAGCGTGCGTGAAACAGATGAACTATTAGAATAAGTCTCTGCCAATTAAGGAGAGAAAATGTTCTAGTGACCAAATGCATAATTCGTGTGCTCCATTATATTAGAACGTCAAATGAATGCTATTGAAAGTAACCATATTTTTCATGACTGGTAGGAATCGTGTAATTATTTTTAGTTTATTCGAGTTTGTTTACATCTCCTTTCTATCAACGCTATTCAATAGGGGTGACTGGCTGAAGCATGAAGTAAACTAAAAGAGATGACGAATAGACCGAAAAGCTGTAATTAATGAAAAATATCTCTAAGTAAACATCCAAAATGGGTAAACATTTAGCACGCGCGCAAAACACTGCAAATGCTAGCGTTTCGGAAGTATCTCTGTGCTGGTATAAGAAAAATATATAAAGAACATGAAGATAAAAAACAGATATAATGGAAAGTACAATTTAATGAGGCGTAGAAAGTGGAAAGATCAAGTTCTACACACGGAACGCACCACTGTACTGCGACTGCCACCCTCAGACATCACAATGCAGCTGAATGCGCATGGGTTCTGACACAAGGCTCGCAACAGGTCCTCCATATCCGGAGCCTCCTCTGAACTCTCACATGACGCCGAAGCACGATGCCTCCAGGGGTTGCAAGGCGGCTTTTTTAGATAAATATAATAATAATACATATGGCAATCCTGTATTTTTTTTACAAAGTGGCTTTTATCCGATTCAAAACTTCGTTCATATGAGAGAGAAGGGCCTAGTCCTGAGCTTTATTGAGTTCAAACAACCGATGGCGCGTAGGGGAAGGCTTTAACAACATCGTTGAGAGAATAGTTTGGCAGATCTAAGAAGCAGGTATGAGATCTCCGCTAGGAGACACTTAAATGTGTACGTCCCAGATCTATCGGGGATTCCATCCGTGTAAGAGTAGTGCCTACTGCAAAAAAGTCAGCCATACCATGCGTGTGAATAGAGAGCAAGAAGGACTACAGTCATATAAAAGTTTATAGAGAAGCTAAGAGCTCAAAAGAGGTGCCAATAATTGGGGACCCCAGCTGAAGACAGGGTCGTTTTGATCGTTGGAGGGCGGTCATCGCACATTGACTTTGTGGAAAAGTTTTTGCTTGTTGTCTGTATATTGTTTCCCCGTTTCAGCGTAAATACGCTATTCCCTCTTTCCCTAGAAAGTGGAGTTGGATGTTCTGGAAAATTCAGAGAAGGTTGGTAGAAGAAGGTGGGGGCCACACCGCTGAGGAGGACGTTGGGACAGCCGTATTTGCAAAAATCCCCCCCCCCGCCCCAGTAGGCAGGCGTGTCACCATGTTCCATAATTCGTGAAAGGCGCACTCATGCAAAGGAGGTTAATGCAAGTGGGCTAACACGTGGGTTCGATTCTCAGAATTCCGGAAATTGGGACCCACTCAAGGACCGCTCAAGTGTGCAGAATTAAAAGTCAGAACACACGAAATAGCGAGCCCGTCCTTTCAAATATTTACAGGACTGATATAATCGTGAAATTGTGTGCCACAATGGCTCTAAAGACCAAAACACGTGTAGTCCCCATTATAAATTAATTTATGGTTGTGAACATTGCTTTGACACCATCTAACGACAAATTACGCGGGTTTTGTGAGAAATGGGCCGGACGGCGCCATTTGATGGCTGAGAATTCTTTTCATAGCTGACGCTGTCGAAGAAAATTGAAGCTTATTTCTTAGATAATTCGCAGTGACGTGAAAGCGCTTGGGAACTGCGATGCTCTTTGAGGATTAGGATAACTTGTGACTTTGAGAAAGCCGATGGGAAACTTCGAGACGGAAAAACTTTTCGTGGTAATTTAACACTTTTGCACTTCAGGGAGGCATTAGAAGCGGCCGCATTCGGCGCTATTGAACGCCGTGTTTAAGAGCCTTCAGTATAGCGAAATTTCCATCTGATTTCACTCAATTTCCCCCATAGTAGCAAACACGTTCTCTCCGAATAGATCCTTTAGGCACCAGAGCCTCAAAAACCTTGGTCGATCCATAAGCAATCCCAACAAAGATATCATGATCAGGGGTATCGTCATCCCGATTAGGATTTGTAAAACACTCCCCCCATGGGAATCTTCGATAATGCGCCGAAACCGCGGGACCATTCCACTTGTGCTTTTGTATTACATATTGGCCCGGAATCTACCGTCTGGCAAGAAACCTAGGTTGGCAGCTAGTGCTCCCAGACAGGAAGAGATGGACATTCTAGGCTTTGTCCCAACAATGCACCCAAATTTCAAGAAAAATTATAATAAAATGCCTAACCCCATGGAAAATCCTCGGTGATGTGCCGAAACCACGGGACCGTTCCACTCGTCCTTTGCACTAACCACAATTGGGAGCCTGCCGCCATTATGGCATCTTGCTACGTTTTACTAGGTGTCTGACCACGTCGCGAGTACAACTTCCGGCAAATGTGTAGTGCGAATTACGAGTGAACGTCCTAGGTTTCGGCACATGCACCGAGGACTTTTCCATGGGTTTAGGCGATTTATTATAATTTCTTGAAATTTGGGTGCATTGTTGGGACAAAGCCTAGAATGTCCATCTCTTCCTGTCTGGGAGCACTAGCTGCCAACCTAGGTTTCTTGCCAGACGGTAATACGGGCAATATGTAAACAAAATCACAATGGAAGATGTCCCGCGGTTTGGCGCATATCGAAAGATTCCCATGGGGGGGGGGAGTGTTTTACAAATCCTAATCGGGATGACGATACCCCTGATCATGATATCTTTGTTGGGATTGCTTATGGATCGACCAAGGTTTTTGAGGCTCTGGTGCCTAAAGGATCTATTCGGAGAGAAACGTGTTTGCTACCTGATGGGGGAAATTGAGTGAAATCAGATGGAAATTTCGCTATACTGAAGGCTCTTAAACACGGCGTTTCAATAGCGCCGAATGCGGCCGCTTCTAATGCCTCCCTGAAGTGCAAAACGTAATTACCACGAAAAGTTTTTCCGTCTCGAAGTTTCCCATCGGCTTTCTCAAAGTCACAAGTTATCCTAATCCTCAAAGAGCATCGCAGTTCCCAAGCGCTTTCACGTCACTGCGAATTATCTAAGAAATAAGCTTCAATTTTCTTCGACAGCGTCAGCTATGAAAAGAATTCTCAGCCATCAAATGGCGCCGTCCGGCCCATTTCTCACAAAACCCGCGTAATTTGTCGTTAGATGGTGTCAAAGCAATGTTCACAACCATAAATAATTTTATAATGGGGACTACACGTGTTTTGGACTTGAGAGCCCTCTGCGGACCAATTCACGAATTATATACCAGTCGGAATTTTGAAAGGCACGGGCTTCGCTAAATTTCGTGTGTTCTGGCCTTTAATCTGCGCACTTGAGCGGTCCTTGAGTGGGTCCCAATTTCCGGAATTCTGAGAATCGAACCCACGTGTTAGCCCACTTGCATTAACCTCCTTTGCATGAGTGCGCCTTTCACGACATTTGGAACATGTGCACGTCCTGGCCCTCTGGGCGGGGGGGATTTTGGCAAAAATAACGCTTTCCCCCTAACGTCCCTGCTCAGGTGTGCCCCCCACGCCTTCTTCCTACCAACTTCCTGAATTTTCCAGACATCCAACTCCACCTTTCCTAGGAAGAGGGGATAGCGTATGTACGTGAAACGGGAAACCAGATACAAGACAACAAGCAAAAACCTTTTCCACAAAGTCAAGTGCGACTCCCGCCCCTCCACCGATTAAGAACGACCCTGTCTCGCTGGGGTCCCCCAATATGGCACCCTCTTTTGAGGCTCTTAGCTTCTCTATAAACTTTTATATGACTGTAGTCCTTCTTGCTCTCTATTCACACGCATGGTATGGCTGACTTTTTTGCAGTACAACAACTACTCTTACCACGGATGGTCCCCGAATAGATCATGGGACCTACACCATTTAAGTGTCTCCTAGCGGAGATCTCATACCTGCTTCTTAGATCTGCCAAACTATTCTCTCAACGATGTTGTTAAAGCCTTCCCCTACGCGCCATCGCAGTTTGATCCCC